AGGGGGAGTGGGAGAAGGAGAAGCAGGCTTCCCGCTGAGCAGGGAGCCCGATGCGGGGCTTGATCCCAGGACCCCAGGATTATGACCTGAGCAGACGCTTAACAACTGAGCCACCCAGGAGCCCCCTCCCTGACTCTGTGTTCTTAACTCCTCAACTAAATTCTCATGGTCAATACAAATTAGCAAGATTGTATTTCCATATTCTGTTTCCTTGGGTCCTAAAATGAATATAAGGTCTTCACAATGGACATGGTGGGAGTTTGTGGTTTGATAGCCAATTAGCTCTTTAAAATAAAAATACCATCTTTTCTCACATAGAGTGAGTAGTAAATTATTTCATTAGCCCCTTAGTCAGTTTCCACCCTGAAATATTCACCTTGGCTTACATGAGGCGGTGTACAGCTTTACTCCAGACTCTGGGATGTATTTTGTTGCTTAAAAGAGACTGGAACACCAAAGCTTGCATATTAGTCCAAGTCAAACTAACTTGGGACCTTTATTTTCTGTCAGCTCGCCAGAGTGTTAACAAGTAGCCAAAATGTAACCAGGGCAACTGAAAGAATCCTCAACAAGAGTCAAGACCTCATGACATTTACTGAGAGGCTGCAGATAAATATCCAAGGTAGTGTGCTCAGTGTCTGGTTTGGGGTCAGTGTCTAGCTTGTGCCTATTTGGTAGGAAATGCTCCATTCACTTTATTAAACATATGTGTGTGACTTGCACGCACTAGGCTTCCCAGAGCCAAAGGCCTGGAATATCCACAGTTGGGGATCCTGAATTGTCTGGATCATAGTCTTTCATTGAGAGTTTTTTCTTTAAAAAAAAAAAATGGATGCTTTTTAATTTTCTTTCTAATGCCTTATATTTAGTTCCTAAGGATCAAGTAGACATCGTACCTCCCCATCTGTTATGAATTTGTCAAATTAACACTTACTAAGTGGAGCACAGGGTGCTGGATGGTGAGCCAAACTCCCACAACAGACCACAAGAGAAAATGAAATACAGAAGTTTATTACTCACAGGTCCAGGAGGAAGTACCTGCCATGTCTTGAGGGGCCATATAGGAGAGGTCAAGGCAGGGGGCAGGCAATGAAAGGGAGAGATAGGACCTGGGCACATGCCTTTATCAAGGTTCTTTGGTGGAGTCTTTTGGGGTCCCAGGCTAAGTCTAGGTTGGTCACTCAAACCAAAACAGAGGGGATTGGGTAAGCCCCACGGAGGTCTTACCGAAGAGGCTAATAAGTAGAAGGCCCTGGGGGTGGTAGGGGAGGCTGTTGGTCACAAGTGCTGTTGGGGAGGTCATAACAAGAACTGACATTTGCTCGTGACCCTGCCGGGGCTGTCTAGGCACAGGCTTGCATGAGGGACTACTGTCCGTTTAAGGTCACTGCAGGCTGCTTGGCCAAACAAATGGATACCAAGGCAGCAACACCATGGAGTGTAGCTGAGCTAAACTCTCAACACCCACCCCTTTGCCCAGAATAGATGCTGACAGGATTTGGGGCTTCAGTGTGGTCCCAACGGATACCCGCAATATTAGAGTACTGGGATGTCTCACCTGATTTGGCTGTTAGAGTGCCATTTTCAGTTTTCTGGCTACCAGAAACATATCCTTGATTTTCTTGTTGGATTAGTTGAAGGATATAAAAGGTACAAAATCCAATACAAATCAGACTTTATAGAGCCAGAGGTAAGGAAATTATTAGAACAAATAATGTGTTTATTAAAAAGAGTAGTATTGAGTATTGGTGGTTCATTCATGCGGTAAATATTTACCAAGTGCTTCTATGTGCAGATGTTTGTGCCAGGTGCAGGAAATGCTGAGGTAAACATGGCAACCCCAGCCCTTACGAGTTTATGGACACTGGGGCAGACCAACATTAAATCAACCAGTAACCTCAAGTCCATGAGTATTTTGATAAGGGACAACCAGGGCACATTGGGATATATGGGCTGGCCTGAGGTTCAACCCATTTGGGTGAATGAAGCCGGCCTCAGTGAAGAAGTTTCTAAGTTTTTTCATTTTAGTGCTGTCCACTTTTGAGAGACCTGTTAAATGATTGATGACTTGTCTCCATAGAAATTATTGAAAAAGCAGCAACTCTAAATCAGACCTTGGATGAAGACTTCCAGCTACCCAGTTCTACTCTTCAGAATATGCAAAAGAATATTACATCTTTGCTGGAAATCATACAGAAGAGCCATTTCATGCAGTTGCACCAAAATGCCATACTGGAACTCAAGTAAGTTTCTAAATACCATTCATGACACAGTCAATTAGAGGTAGGAGCTTGAATGCTGAGGGGAGGGAGATGTATGCAAGGAGGGGAAGGAAAGAACACTCTCACGGGGGCAGAATGTCATAAAGAGAGGGGCACAATTGTCAAAGAAATGAAACAATGGGAGCCATCCACTCTCAACAGAGAAAAGTAGAATCAGTGCCAATATCTCTCTTTGTGTCATAGGCTTGGTTTTTCCCTGTGCCTCCGGAACAATATTTCCACCTAGCACAAACAAAAGAACCTCACAATGCTATATTTATTGAAGATCAAGTATAATGCCGTAAATTCTCATGGAAGAAAATACAGCTTAGTGGCTGTTCCCTGGGCTGTAAGCTCTAAGACAGATTGACATTATGCCGAAATGATTTAGCTCGGTTGCTCAAACTCTCATGGAAAACCACCATGTGGAGTGACAGATCAGAGAATTGTGAGACATGCTCACGGGGAGCTTGTATATCCTTTCAAGCTTTTTTTTCTTAGTATTTTCACTGTTATTACTTGATGTAATGTAGCACAAGCTGTCTTTCTTCCGGGTTCTGATAAATATCTTCAGTAGGGTTTAAACAGTTACACAATATGCATCATAGCGCCATATTCCCTGCAGTGTGATATTTAACCTATATTAATATATTTTGCTGTTTTAAATAATGTTGTGATGGACATCTTAGACAAAAATATTCTCCTCTATTTTACACTATTATCTTATTAGGGTAGATAATAAGAAGTGAAATCATGGAATTTGCATTTTGAAGACTCCTGACTTGCGTTTCCAAATTATTTTCTAAAGATTTAAAAAACAATTCCATTACGCTTCCACCGGCAACACACTGCAAAGTTGAGCTTATGTCTTTCTTCAACATTGAATATGATTTTTGACATTGTTGTTGATTTGTTAGGTGAAAAACAAGTGGCAGATGGCATTTGGAGAGAGAACTAGTAAAATAGTCACTAGAACATTGGTGAGGGCCCAGAACTAATAATAAATGCCCCCAAGGGGAGATGAGAGGAGGGCAAGGTCCCAGGAAATGAGGAAGAGGGCCGCCATCTGGAAGCACTTGCTCTGGGCTGGGGAGGGCACAGGGTTCACTTCTCTCATCTTGTCACATAATCTGCTCAGCTGCTTTGTGAGGTTGGGGAGGAGCTAGCTGGGGAAACAGGCCCAGAGACTCTAAGTACCTTGCCCGATGTTAAGCCTCCAGGATGAGACCAGACCACACACTTAAATCTGTGTCACTCTAAACCCTGATTCCAACCCAACACAGAAGGAAGAACCACTTGAGACCCAGTCTGGAAAAGACGGGTGGGTAGAGTTTTAGTGGCCAGGTCAGACACCTCTGCTACATTATGACCATGTTCCCCTGACCCTGACCACTCATGTGCATCCTCCCTTCCCCTGAAATGCATGGCAGAAGTAGGCAGTGGAGGGAAAGGGGCTCACACTTCCATGCAGGTCTTACCAGGAACCCACCATTCTTCAGGCTCAGCACTGCAATGCTCTGCTTCCCAACCATCCTTAGCTCCCCGCTGCCTCCAGGATTACATATAAATGTCGTGTATTTGATTCCAGCTCCATCCCTCTCCAGCTTGCCCAGGCTCCCTGGCTGGTCCCACTGTTTCCTGACACCATCCCCCAACCCCCGCCATGCATGGTGTGTCCTTTCATTGTTCCTTCCCTTGGCTGTGCATCAGAGTCTTATTAAAGATGCAGGAGCTTATTAAAGATGAAGATCCCCTGGAGATTCCTGGGAATCATTTGTGGGGATGTCTTCTCCCACCATTACCCCTCCACAGTCAGTTGGTTCGTTCGTTCGTTCATTCATCAGATAGATTGAAATCCCCAGGTGACAGGCACTGTGCTAGGAGTTGGGGACACAAAGGAGAACAGAGCCTTCCTGCCCACTTGGAGCTCATAGCCCAATTGGGAGGAGTTCATTTTCTAAGTAGTATTTGCAAAGAAGGGGAGAAGGCAGGGTGGCCCCTCTCCCATCCTATTCCCTCCACACCCCTGATCTGCCTCACCTGCTAAGCCCTCCACCACCCTTTCTCTGGTATAGCTCTTTTGTTTCTATTTGGAATAAAGTTATCCGGAAGATTGCTGACCTCTCTCTTTAACTTTTGAGTGAAATCGTTACTAAAGATACCTTTTATTTTTTAAAAATTTAAGAGTTCATCTATAATTTTACCCATTTATCCAAGATTCTGCATATGTGTGAAATTATTTAAGGTCTATTAAATTGATTTTTACATCCTGCATCCTATACCATGTCAACACATGATATAGAAAAGAAACACATGAATTTTTTAGTGAGTTTGACAGATTGAAAGACAATGTCATTGGTTTTTTTTATTAGGGGACAGTATTTACCATACATGTGAATAAAAACATTTAAATTTAATCATTGTTCACTTTGTTATAAGTTCCTAAGTTAACATGTCCTTTATTAATTAATTAGAGAAGCTTGGGAAATTTTTTCTTTTAATATATAATATGGCTTTTTTTATCCTAAAGAATTATTATATTGTCCAAATTTTATTTTTTTATTTATTTTTATTTTTTTTTAAAGATTTTATTTATTTATTTGAGAGAGAGAATGAGAGACAGAGAGCACGAGAGGGAAGAGGGCAGAGGGGGAAGCAGACCCCCCGCCGAGCAGGGAGCCCGATGTGGGACTCGATCCCGGGACTCCAGGATCATGACCTGAGCCGAAGGCAGTCGCTTAACCAACTGAGCCACCCAGGCACCCCTATATTGTCCAAATTTTAAAGAAAAGCCTTAAAAATCTGAATGTACTAAATATATTAAATTGATTATATTATTTGTAAAAAAAAAATTTAAGAGTTTAAAATGTGTTCTCTGGCCTCTTCTTCCTATTTTTCATAGATAATCCCTGTGTATTTATGCTATTTCAAATTTCACAGATTATTTTAGGAATTATGTATCTGCTTTATTATAACTCTTAGAAAACTGGTCATTTACCCTGAAGTATGGCATTCTTATAGGTGAGAATATTTATCACACCTTGCAATTGCTTATCATGCTTGTATTGGTGTCCCCAAGACCATGCCCGCATTCAGAGTTTCCCTAGGACCTTCAGGACTCCTGGCCAAGATTTCTTAGGTGATGTATTAAGGATGCACAGCTGGATACACAGGGAAGAAGACACAGCAGAGCCTGGAAGAATCCGTGCAGCATTCCCTAAGCTCTCTCGCCCTCATGAGGGGGTCACATCACACTCTGCCCCCAGCAAGGAAAATGCAGCACCGCATGTGTAATGTTTCTGCCCAGGGAAGGCCATTAGAAGTTCAGCATCCAAGGTGTTTATTGGTGGCTAGCCCCATATGCACCCTCCACCTAGCACAGACCAAATTCCAGACTCCGCGAAGGAAGGCAGGTGTTCAGCATAAACCACCTTGCTTGCACAAATGGTCGAGGCAGCGAGCCACCGTTATTGGCTAGGGAACAGTGGGGCCACTTGCAGACACCAGCCACGGCTGGCAAAAGAGGGCAGAATCCGGCTTGCTGCTTCCCTGCTGCACACCGTACCACTGACAGCACACTTTACTTCACCATCCGTGCCTGTGTCTCCCAGCTGTTTTCCACGCTGGGGTTCCTCAGACCTATCCAAAGCTGCCTCATTAAAGAAATGTGTCCTGGGGCGCCTGGGGGACTCAGTCAGTTAAGCGTCTGTCTTCGGCTCAGGTCATGATCTCAGGGTCCTGGGATCGAGCCCCGTGTGGTCTGAGGTCCCCAGGTGCTGCTGAGGTTTTTTGTTTTTAATCTTCATTAAGTCATTGATGATTCTGTCATTGCCTGTGATCACAGGTTAGGTGGTAAAGCCACTTCATAGATGAAAAGTTGACCTCTGTTTTAAAATTTCTCAGATTCGGGGCACCTGGGTGGCTCAGTCGTTAGGTGTCTGCCTTCGGCTCAGGTCGTGATCCCAGGGTCCTGGGATCGAGCCCTGCATCAGGCTCCCTGCTCTGCAGGAAGCCTGCTTCTCCCTCTCCCACTCCCCCTGCTTGTGTTTCCTCTCTCGCTATGTCTCTGTCAAATAAATAAAATCTTTGAAAAAAAAAAAAATTTCTCAGATTCCTTGTTTAATGGTATGAAGGGATCCATGGTCAGACATCAGAAATATATTGGATTTACTTGTGTGTTTCCCATGTACTTCTAGTTCTTGTTGCCTGTACCCTAATTATGAGAAGTTGTAAGAATGTTTAAATAATTCCTGGTGATGTTCCAACGATGTCAGTGTTTAAGTATGTACCTTTGGAAAATGTTTTCTGTCTTAGGCCAGCGTTATGATGTCTGTGGAATCTGAGGGTGACTTACAAGGCATTTTCCATGAAATTTCAAAGTTTTCCTGACAAATTGAAGCAGGAAGTTAATTGGATGTATTCAACCCCTGTGAAGGTTTATAGTGTGAAAATTGTATTATTCTGTGTAACTTTAAATTCAAAATTGATTTAAACAAGCAATTTGATAGCATATTTGCAAAAGAATAGGAAAACATATCTTTTGATTTCCTAAAGCTTGCTCTTTCCAGTGGTACAAATTAGATCTTTCTGGCATTTGAATTTTCAGTTTTTATAAAATCTATTTTTTAACTAGCTGCAGAAAAACCTTTATGTCCTCTAAATACATTTATAACTTCATAGCAAATGAAGCAAATCACTGAATGGCCTCTTCCATTTCTTGCTGTACTGAAAAGCAAGATGGCAGTTATCATCCACAGACTGTGGTCCCAATTTTCTGCATCCCGACCCACAGAAATGATTTCTTTTAATTCCTTTACTAAAATATGTTAGGAAGTTTGTGAATAAAGATTGCTTGTGAAGGACAAAGTGTAAATAGACCATGCCTATAGTGGTCTTAGAAAAATTACTCCCTTTAAGAGGTAACGATGTGCCACTCATGATGGCAAGAAGACACAAGGGAGGGAAATGCAGTCTTTCGCTGTCTGTTCACCACAGGAGCGTTGTTGTTCAGTACTTACTACCTACACCATCTATATTTAACAGGGCTGCTGAAGCTTTATTGTCACAAATTCAGAAGAATTACCAGAAGCCACAGAGAGAGTTGGAGGTCTTAAAAGCAGCAGCAAGCAGCCTCCTCTCAAAACACACCAGTGAGCTGCAGACAGCGGGCGACCTCGCGAGGGAAGCTGAGGTGAAGGCCTGGGAGAGCGACCGCCTGGTGCACACTGCCCAGGCCAACCTGCAAGAATTCCGCGTGAGTCTTCAGAAGGATGGTCTGCTTCCTTCTCAGGGCTGGGAGCCCAGCTCCCCTATGTCAATAATACCATTTTTAGCTTCTTTTAAGATGAGCCCCAAGTTCTAACTGCAGCACATAGTGTCAGGTACTAACGTTCAGAAACTGGCTCGCTTTTTTTGAAGCATCCTCAAAGGTGATTCTTTTTGTCCCAGGAAAAGCAGCTACGTGTTCAAGAAGAGCAAAACTTGACCTCGACGCTAATTGCCAGAGGGAGAAGATTGCTAGAGGCTGTCCGTACCCGTGCAGCGGAGGAGCGGGATGCTCTGGCAGTAAGTTACAGCTCCGAGCGTCTTCACACGCCTTATACACATGTACACAGGTACACTGTTCAGTAGGTGCATATATACTCACAATCTGAATTTCTCCACATAGCAGTTAGAGCGTCACCGGGATGAGCTGCTTCTATGGACTGCCAAAATCAGGCACCACGTAGATGATCTGGTCATGCAGATGTCCAAAAGAAAAGCACTTGACCTTGTGTACAGAGCAGAGGACCATGCAGCTGAGCTCCAGAGACTAGCAGGTGCTCTGGACAGGTGAGAGCAGAACTTGCAGGAATCCCAGGGTGGGTGATCTGTGGAGCAAAGAGAGTAAGAATGGTCACTTTGATCACAGTGTTGAGTCACTCTTCTTTTGTCTACAAACGAAGACTCCTATTTTATTCATGGGGGAAGGAGGATTTCCTCCCATGTCTGGTAATGTAGTTATCCTTCCGCATATGATGGGGAAAATGCACACTGAACTGGATAGGAGGAAAACAAATATTATGATATCAAGACATTAAGGCCTTGTTAAGTAACTACTAAGTGCTCGGGGCTTTGTTAGGTTGGACAGAATGAAGACATTGATTTCTTTATAAATCTTGTCCTTCTGGAGCTTATGATTTGGCTGGCTTTATGCGTGGACGGAGGTTGTAGTTGCCCCAGCTGGAAGACGCCATCCCCTTTATTTTCTACTTCCTGAAGGTCTACTATTGTCTTATAGTTACCTTAACATATGTTTTTAGCATTTGTTAAATATGTCCTCAACTTGTGACAAAGCGCTTCTAAATGAGAAGCATGACTTGAGGACAGTGGTTCTCAAACTTGTCTGCACTTTGGAATAAACTGGGGAACTTCAAAAATACTGCTCTTGTCGCCTTGTCCTCCTCCCGCTCAAAGATTGTGACCCGGGCTTTGTCACATTTTTAAAGATCCCCATGTTATCTGATGTACAGCAAATGAAGGAACTAGTATTTCGGCCTTATCAGAGATTCACACAATATTGTGAGTTAATTGGTAAATTTATTTCTTAAAAACTTGTTACAATTATAGGCAGAAAAAGTCTGGACTCACTGGGTATCCGTGTGCTGCTCTGTGTTGGGAGGGAAAAATAAATATCTTTCCAATTTGAGGAATGCTGCCATAAAAGATTAGCTCACACAAGGAAAGCAATTAAAAACGATATAGGATAGAATGTTGCATAAATTATGTGTTGCATGGAGCATTACCACCTACACATGCTATAGGAATCCGTAATAGAAAATGGAATTAGATACTCAGCTTCTCTCTTTTCATCAGCTTTCATTATTTCCCAAAAGAGAAAAAAAATATATTCTGCCTACATACATAGCTAAGACAAAACCCATATTACCTAGTATGAATAGTAAGAGCAATGTGGTATGCTACACAAACTTAAATAACATTATTATCTTTTATCTATAAATCACCAAATTTTGCCAATCAAGTAGTAACTGCTGGTGCCTGGTTTGGGAATCACTCAACTCGATAACCTTGGGGAGAAAATGAAGTGAGTTACTCAACAGGCAAAGATATGTCAATTGTCAGATTTCATTTTCAAGATAGAGTGAGCTGGATGAAATTGCACCATTACCAGTTGGCAAGTTCATAAGTGATTTGCCCACTTGTAAGAGTTGAAGTTCAGATGATTCAAATATTATCTGATCTTCCTCCCAAACCTTTAGTGAATTTCATCAAATTGGTATATACGTTTTGAAGAACAAGATTCGGCATCCTTATATAAGCTTAAGGAAGCTTTTTGAAAATTAGCAAGTGCGCAGCAGGAGAGATTACAGCCCAGGCAGACGTGCAGTGGTACCCCAGACATATGTGGGGGGTCTGAAAGAAATGAAAGAATGTTAAGGGCAGCTGGTGGAAACTGATGGACGGTTAAAACCATAGGAAACAGCAGTAGCCCCTTCTTCGGGTGTTAATTAAACAGCACTTCTGAGTGTTCTCGTGACTGTAGCTACTGCTTTCCAAGATGACGGAATCCCTGTGTTGTTACTCCTTGAACTTTTCTAAGGGTGAGAAACCGGGAAGCTTTCAGGAATAGTGAGCAAGTTCCATTTAATTTGTGCCAACATCTGTAAACATGCTGCTTACACAGTGGCCTCGGCAGCGTTAGACACGTGTCCCCGAATGCCACCAGCGCAGCCCACGTCCATTCCAACATTCGGAGCCTGATTGAAGAATCAGAGAAAGTGGCAAAAGATGCTCTCGAGACAGTGACTACGGTGAGTCTGGTGAGAGCTGCCCCGGGGGCCACAGTGTGTGCCTTCCTTTTCTAGGCACTGTGGGAGGTTGTTCCAGAAGGTGCTGAGCAAAGACTCAGTGGCTTAAATTCATGCTTGTCAATATTCTCGTCTGGCGAGAGCTGTTTGGCTCTGTCATCATGTGATACAAGTTTTAATTTCTTAGGGTCATAGACACTTTCTTTTTTTTTTAAGATTTTATTTATTTATTAGAGAGCATGAGCCGGGTGAGGAGCAGAGGGAAAGGGAGACCCCTAACGCAGGGCTTGACCTGCGATCATGACCTGAGCCAAAGTCAGCCACTGAACCCACTGAGCCCCCCTGGCCCCCCTTAAGGTCATAAATACTTCTTTACGAAGACTAGGGACTGGTGATGTGGTAATGAGGAAAATCTCACAGTTTCTTATAATGAAAGGATAATGCTTCTTGATATCTACTTGAGACATCTTCTCTTTAGAGAAATCTTCACTTAATGTCTGGGTTTTGTCTTTATATATTTAAAAATGGTTTGTGTTCTTTCTCCTCAGCCATGAATTAGGACAATTTAAATTGTCCCTACCCATTACCTAGTGGACTCCCATGTTTGGAACTAGACCAGAGACTATTCTGATAGAATTGCTGTCCCCATCTTCAGCAGGAGTCCACCTGCCCCTCCTCCCACACCTGCTCCCCCCATCTCCCCGCCATTGTCATGTTTAAAGTGTCCTGTTTTCCAGTTCTCAGAATCCCTTGTTTCTAATGGGAAAGTGGCTCTCCAGCGCAGTTCCAGATTTCTAAAAGAAGGCAACAGCCTGAGCAGAAAGCATCAAGGTAAGTTTCTAGCTTGGACTGTATTGATAAGCAGAGTGAATAAGACTCTCTGAGCATACTGCTGGAACATTCTCCTTTCCTGGGGGAATCTGAACATGAACCCTTCTTTGTCACAATGACATTCCAATTTCCTGTCATAGAAACATCATATTTAAATTTTTATTTTTAAATTTTTATTTTAGTGACCTCTCTTAATATGCGGGCACCTCTAATCTTCCAAAGACTCATTGAGCCTTCTTTGGTACCTGAATCCTCCACACACGGTGTTAGCTCATGGGCTGTCAGTGTTTCGCAGTGTGTGTCAAGTTCTCTTTGGTTTCACATGCTCCCCTATTCATATCACACTGTTTCACAGTTTCTTGAAGAGTTGTATTATATGTGATGCATTTCTTTTGCCAATGTTGCCAAACAGGGCTAATATAATGTTAGACTCATGGTAACTTCTCATTAAATCATTATTGACTTAAATCATAATAGATTTATCAGTTTTTCAAGAAATCCCAATGCAGTGAGTTCTTCCTGAAGGGTTCAGTAAGCAATGATTTCACATGTGTAAGGGCTGTCCAGTAAACACAACACAAAATGGCAGCAGGAATCTGTGGTGTGAGAAAAACATACACTTTTCACCTTAATATATTCTAATCAAAAATATCAAGTCCCTTCCTGTAGGAGTAGACAGGGCTATAAACCAAGCTCACAACCCTCTAAGAACACTTCCATGCCTGTACTGGATCCTCCCATAGCTGTTTGAGCCAAGGGCCCAGATGTGTGCATAGTTTTTGTTCTCTGTGAGTGACACAATTTAAATTTTATGTCATCATCTTATGGAATAGAAAGTCCCTCACACTTGATCGTAAAGCAGATGAAACACAAATTCTAGCTCGGTGTTGATGGGCTGTGGTTTCAGCTTACACGGCGAAAGGTGTGTCAGAGGCCACCAAATAGTGAACTTTCTGGCAATTAAAATTTTAAAACCGTCGTGTTCATCAGATATTTTATCCATAATTCATTTTTTAACCGTGTGTCCAGCAGTGAGATGTGTGTATTATGAACAGAAATATTAAAAGTAAAAGCTCTGATCCCACAGCTTTGATCAGACTTGAAGGAGGCTGAGTTGAGCGCGTGTCCTGCCATGAGAGGATGGGGGAGGGGAGGGGCCCTGGCTGGGGAAGCGGGGCTGGGCACGGGGGAAGATTCCTGGGTAGGACAACCTTTGGGGTTTTACAACCCAGAGAAGAGGGGTGGACAAGATTTAGGTATAGGCAGGAAGTTAGTGAATGATTAAGACTGAGGGATTTAAACACAAGTCTTCACCTGAGCTCTAAATTAAATTGGACATGTGATTCAAGAAGAAATATTTGGGAGAAGGGCAACAAGTGAAATAGAAAAAATGATCAAGCAAGCTAAAAACACTCTTCATTTCTATAATGAGTGGTGCTAAGTCTTGTTGGAAAAATTTCAGTATTGGGGGGGGTGTCTGTAGAAAGCTGTTGATTCTGTAGATGGGTCAGAGTGATGAAGGAACCTGTTGCCTAAGCAACTTTTGAGTAGGTTATCCTCAAAGAGGACAATTTTCCCCCCCTTTAAATAGGTATCACATTGAAACTGAGTGAATTGAAAAATACAGCAAAGAGATTTCAAGGGAATGCTGATACAGTTACTAGGCGGACCAATGAATCACTCTTAATACTCAGAACAATTCCTGGAGGTAAGTGGAAAGGGGGTTCTTGATTTAATTAATGTTTGCTCATTGTAAAGCCATTACACAGGAGCGGAAGGAAGTCCTGCTGCGAGTCTGATTAATAGCCCTTGCTCAAAATCGAGACCAAGATGGATAGAGTTTTTACTCGCAGAGGAGTATGATTTGGACGTGAAGATAACTATTTTTTAAGTAACTCCAGAACACCTGCATTGGAATGCTAGAATCCTATTCTGAAAGGCAGAACCTTGGGAGACTTGATGCTACCCCATGAATTACTTTCTTTTAAAATGCCTTGACACAACCCTTCATTCGAAGATGTCAGCAAGAAGCTGAATGTTCCCGTCTTAAGGGAAAATGCTAGTACATTATAAATGGGGACAATTAAAGAACTCTTGCTTGGTGATCTTCCTTCATGAGGCAATATAAAGCATTCTAAAATAAGTTCAGAAATCACTTTAATATTGATGGGTTGGAAATGTACTATTCATTACAATCTGAAATAGGATAACTATTTTAAAGTATAATACAAATGAGTCCAGCTGCACTGCATCATTTACATCCCCTCGACCTTCTCTTCTTTTCTTAATAAGCCTTACAAGATGCCCTAACAACTCCAGAGTTCTTTCTGTGGATTCACTGGTGAACATGGAAACCACTGTAGGGGAGCTGGGCTTGGGGCACTTTGGACTAACTTCTAACCTTAAATCATGGGCACATTTTCTGACCTGGAAGTTTCTTTTCTTTCTTTTTTTTTTAAGGACACATGATATATGTTGGTTAAATACTTAAAAGTACCTTTTCAGGGGCGCCTGCGTGGCTCAGTCAGTTAAGCATCTGACTCTTGATTTTGGCTCAGGTCATGATCTCAGGATTTTGAGATCGAGCCCCATGTCGGGCTCCATACTGGGCATGGAGCCTGCTTAAGATTCTCTCTACTCCTCCCCCCACAACCTACCCTCCAAAAAACAAACAAACAAACAAAACACCTTTTTATTTGGAAGTAATTTCAAACTTGCAGAAAAGTTGCTGCAAGAGTAAAAAGAAACCTGTAGACTCTTTATCCAGCTTCTTCTAGCGTTTGTTTTTGTCCTGTTTGTGATTGGATATTTTAAACATGAATAGTAGTGCCTTTAAAAAAAAAAAAGCATCACCCAGATTTTCTAAAATAACTGAATTCCACTTTATCCATAGTGACCATTTAGTCTTTATTCTGTTCTGTCTAGCAGTCAGCTGACATTGTGGGCAAATACCACTTCCTCTAGCCTACAACATGCCCATCCTACCTACAAATTTAAATTCCCCAACCTTCTTATCCACACATGGACTGATTTGAATAAGGTATTTAATGAATATGAGAAGGGAGTGATAGAAGGGAGACCAAATAAAGAAGTTTAGCTTATTAACATCTAAGACCCTGAGAACATGGCGATTAGCAGTTGATCTCACTAAGTATTGAAATTTCAATACAGAGGATTGTTACCAAAACTATTTCATTTGTCCCTAAGAGGGAGCAGTAAGGCATAGGACATGCAGTCTTACTACTGCCATTAAAAGCCAAAAGCCCCATTTTGTGCTCAGCAGCCCATAAGAAATACTGTACATGTTTCCATGAGGAGTTACATTTATTGTGGTTTATGGTTTCCCCATATATGATCACAGGGGTGCATGCTTGCATTTAAATTTATTTCAGGTGCCAGAGACAGAGGAACCAAAGTCAAAGAGCTGGCCACATCTGCAAATCAGAGTGCAGCAAGCACTCTAAAGAATGTCGTGGGATTGAGCCAGAAGCTGCTGAATACATCCACTGACCTGTCCAGGGTTAACGCCACCTTACGAGAAACTAACAGACTTCTACAGGACTCCTCAATGACCGGTACGTCCCGGTCTCCCTTCCCAGTGGGAAAGTCTGCGTTGTGAGATTTTCAACTGACCTGGTATACCATGGGGTCTTGTTGACAAACAGCATCCCTAAGGAATAAAAATGCACTGATGTCGAGATTTGCATTTATAAAACAAGAGAAGGGCCTTGGGTAGGGCATGCTGCTGGCGCATTCTTCATATACAGTTGACCCTTGAACAACATCGGTTTTGACGGCACAGGTCCACTATACAGATTTTTTTCGATAAATATAATACAGAAAATATATTTTCTTTATGATTTTCTTAATAACATTTTCTTTTTTCTAGCTTTCTTCATTGTAAGAATAGAGTATATAATGCATGTCACTTACAAACCGTGTTAATTGACTATTTACGTTGTTGGTAAGGCTTCCAGCCAACAGTAGGCTATTCCTAGTGAAGTTTTGGGGGAGTCAGAAGTTACATGCAGCATTGCGACTGCATGGGGGTTGAGCACCCCCACCCCTGAGTTGTTCAAGGGTCAACTGTACTTACCAAAATTTCAAGGATCTGATCATTAGGATATTATATTTTATTCAGTGCATTGGTAATAATAAATAATTCACTTCTCTTGTTTCCTCCCTGCTGCCATCTTTCTTGCCACCTGATACTTGGTAGCTCTGCTAGCTGGAAGAAGAGTGAAAGATGCAGAAACACAAGCCAGCCTTTTATTTGATCGGTTGAAGCCTCTGAAGATATTAGAAGAGAACCTGAACAGAAACCTATCAGAAATCAAACTGCTTATCAGCCAGGCCCGCAAGCAAGCAGCTTCTGTGAGTGTGGGCTCCTGTGGCGCTCGGGAGCTCGGCCCTCCCACAGCGGGGCTCTCGGTAACTCCCGGTCTCAGGGGGCTCCTATAGAGGGGACTGTCATGCCGGCCCCTGGACCTCTACTGAGTCAGCTCTTATCTCCCGCATTTCTCACAGCCTTGTCTACAGTACATTTAAATCTGTGTTAAGTATATTTACTTTGTGTGTGTGTGTGTGTGTGTAGCCACTTACGACTTTTATTTATGGTGCCTATGCTTTGTCTAGAAAATACCTTCTCTCCTGCCCCGGACAGTATATTTAAGTATACTTAAGTAGTCTCATTTTCTTTGTTTTTTGCTTCATTCAACCTGTTTCCGAATGTTAGCGAAGAGGTCTCATGTCTTTATGGAGATTTATAATTGTAGCCTAGACTCATCAGTCCACAACTATTAGCTCAGCTGCTGTAGAGCTCGTGGTCTAAGTGTTTACATCTAAGTCTCCTTGGCCGAGTACGGCATTATTGCCAGCATTTTACCAACCCAGTGTCAGTAATCCAAGTGTTCTTCAGAATGTGTGCGCATCGTCCAGGAGTCTGGATACACAAATGCTCACAAATCCAGGTCACTAAATGCATCAAACAGTTGCCAGCTGGAAAAGTACAAGCTTGAGAAAATGTTTACGACCATCCATAGCGCATGGCATTGGTCGTGCTCTAAAGGGGAGGCATTTCAGGGAAATAATACTTTCAAGAGAATATGCCGTTGACACGCTGCTGGGGATTTATAGAGGACAGATGTGACCTCTGGTCTCATGTTCATCTGCCTGAACCCTGCTAGCTAAGAAAAAGCAGTTCTGGAGCCCTCCACTCCCCCTCCCCCGAGTGGCCTCAATATTGGAAAATGGCTGTCAGTTGCCATGAGTTTGGTTTCAGTGAAAGTCACCAAATAAACGTAAGCCCCACAGACGTTTCTAAATGCTCTGATTAATACAAACGTATAATCTTTAAAGCTAATGTAAGAAATATATGCAACTACTTAGAGAAACGTGTAGTAAGTGCAAAAGTTGCTCTATAAATATTTCCTGGATGTATAATTAGATTATCCCTTCAGGTATTTGACACATGATCATCAAATATCCTTCCTGTGTCAGATGTAAAGATTCCAGGGTGATCTGGATAAGCTCCTGGTCTTAAGGAATTAAGTCTCACATGAGCGAGACCGTTTCCTATGTAAAATACTCTTAAAACTTCAAGACTGACTTTTTCGTATTTAAGTAGTTCACCAAATAAAATAATTTTCATCACCGCCTGATCTCATGTTATGAAACACAAAGCATTATGCATCCTCAGGAGAGGAAACCTGCCTACCAGTGAAAATTGGTTCCGGAACAGTACTTTTGACCTTCTGGCGTGCTGCCAACGTGTGTCACTGAGTGATTAGGACACTTTCTCTTTCCTTTCACAGATTAAAGTTGCCGTGTCTGCAGACAGAGATTGTATCCGGGCCTACCAGCCTCGGATTTCTTCTGCTAACTATAACACCTTAAGGCTAAGTGTTAAGACAAGTGAACCTGATAACCTTCTCTTCTACCTCGGGAGCAGCACCAATGTGAGTATGGACTGTAGAAAGCAACAATGACTCTCTTCTGAGCGTGTTATAGTTTCTGAATTGGCAGGGGTTTTTTGATGGAGGAAAAAAAAAGAGGGCCTTGGTGAAATCACTAATCCTTCTAAGGGAACTAAGCTTTTGCTAAACTAGTGGCATTAGATTAGAAACACACAGTCCCAAACTGAATGCCTGTGAGGAGGACCGAGCTATTGAGGAGAGGGTCTTCCCTCTGCCATCTTAATTGCTAGCTGTGGGGTAGCCTTTCCTAATGTCTTCTGCAGACTCTTCAGCCCCCGAGTGTAGCCATGGGTGTGTAAAGTGGATCTCGGTGGTGGTTATCAGGAGTGGAGGTGTGCACTTTAATGGGCGTATCAGAATTATCCAGCTTCACCGAGGCTCCTCCACCCAATGAGATTCTGGTGGTTCCCAGAGGGGCAAGTCCCCTGTGGAAACCACTGATTCCTTTGGCTGCCAGTGGGAATGGGTCAGAACCCTTGGGGGTGTGAGAGCAGAAAATATTAACAAGCACAAATTCTGAAACGTCTTCTTGGGAGCTAAGGCGCAGAACACACGCAACTCCCTGATGTGGGATCTCATGGCTCCTGCCTTATTACGTATTTCACGTTCACTCACTGCATTCTCAGACTGGGCAAACAAGTCCAGTAAACAAGTCCTATTCCCTGTAGGCTACTGATGACCCCCAGTAAGTGTTCCTGGGGAACTTCCTGGAAGGCACTAATATCCAACAATGGCTTAATGGTCTCTAGTACTGAGGCATGCTCCAGCTCCAGGGAGGGGAGCATTTAAAGACAAAAGACAGTTTTTTGTTTTTTAAGAATAGAGAAAATGGGGGAGGGGGGAAAGATGGCAGAGGAGTAGGGAACCCTATTTCAACTGGTCCCCGGAATTGAGCTGGATATCTACCAGACCACTCTGAGCACCCACGAAACCAGCCTGAGATGTAAGAGGATCTGGATCTCTACAAACAGAATATCGCAGGCAGTTGGTTTTGAGGTACGAAGCGGAGAGCCGTGATCCTGTGGGCAGATATCAGAGGATAAATGGCGGCGGGAGGGTGCCTGGACGTGGGGATCCTACACCGCCGGTGAGTGACAGCCTTGCGCTGCGGACGGGGCACAGACTTGCAGACCAGTAGTGTCGGGAAAGAACTTTAGGGCAGCCCCCGGGGTGGAAAACCAGACCGGCAGGGTCGCGCGCACGGGAACTGCAGCCTCCGAGACGGAAACCCGGTGCGCCGGGGTCGTGCTGGTGAACTGCAACCCCCGGGGGTGGAAACCCCAAGCAGCGGAGTCACGCGCGACGCGACGAATTGGGAGCAGCTGGCAGTTTTAGAAGCACAAAGGGCAGAGACGTGCCCGACCTGGAGGCGGGACTGGGAGCGCTGCGGAGGGGCGCACAACACAGGAC